TTATTATATGCTGAACTAATACAAATAATAATGTCATAATCTACATGAAATTATCTTTGATATTTTAGGAGGGAATTTGGAAATATTAATTTTATTGGCAAATGCCTGTTGTCATGTGTGTGATGTACATACAATGCACGCGTTTCCGATTTGACAACAATGAAATTGGAGGAAATTCGAATAAGACAAGCGTACAATCAATCATCAATGCCTTTCTACTTTATTTTATTTGTGAACAATAGTTCACAAAATAGAAGGTCATTTAGATTTTGACCTGAATGCAACTATTATTTTTTTTTGTTTTATTTTAAATTAAATTAATTAGAAATATTTAAGATACTTGTAATTTGAATAAATGATAAGTTTTTATGAAGATTGAATTGAAATCGGGAAGCCAATTTCACACATACATTTATCCGATATTTTTCACCCTTTTGTTCAGAATAATTTATAAAATGTAAGATATTTATAAGATAATACGTACGGAGTGTTCATCCTCTCTTTTATGTACAACACGTCAATGTTAAGAGTGTAATTTTTGCAATTGTACATAATAATTGAATTTACTAGTTTGGCCAATTATTAAAAACAAAAAATATAAAACTCGTAGTTATTATTATTGTGTGAAGTTTTGTTAATTGAAGAAATATTAGTTGCTATATTACAGGCCATAGTTTTGAAATTTCATATAATAATCCTCCCACGAAATACTACTACTACTATAAATTTGTTTTTTTTTTTAATAAAAATTGATTTTCTTCCGTTGTATTCCATTCGTCATATAATAATTATGATTGCCTTTTCCAGGCTTCTAAATCACTTTTCTAATGTAAAATAAAAAAATGATTGATATATATATATATATATATATATATATATATATATATTAATAAGGGTGGATGCTCGAAAGTGATGTTATTTTCTGGCTCCGACTGCCAGTGTTGTTTCGATAGCTTTAATAATTTGCCGTCCGCCTTTAGCAGATACTTAGGTGGAAGAGTCAGGTGGAAGAGTCGTAGAAAATGTGTAGTATATGCAAACTTCGTTATCATATGGTTTATTGACAGTTACATTAATAATAAGGAGGATTGACTTCTTATAGAAGTGTGTTAAACTCCGTCTTGTCTCAATGATGAAGTTGCATCTTGATGACGACGTGGCTTCTGTTAGTGTTGTAAGGACTAGCAGTACTGTGCTCACATCCCTGTGTAGGACGTGTGGCCTTGAGAATGTGTATACGAACGAATAGAGATACCTGGATACTATGCTTGTTGTGTGGTAGTGTAGGTTCTCGTCACGCAGTCAGCATCCTCGACTGCTTGTATTTGGCAATTAGACTTATGTCCCTTTGGATGGCTTCATTGTTTCATATAATTGAGCGATTTGCGCGCGCGTGTGTGTGTGTGTGTGTGTGTGTGTGGCCGAAAACACTAGCTGAATAACGTAATAACTTATAACTGTTGAGCGATTGATACACAATGAGACTATAAATAAATAAGCCTGTTGGATACGAATGATGGAAAAACCGAAAGCTTGATCGTTCCGTCGCGGCTCTGCTGAAACTTATCGACCGTTCTCCATGGTGGCCCTGCTATGGGCAGACCGAGACCCGTGTGCCATGGCTTCTTCTGGTAGAGGGTTCACCGTGGTCGGTTCATTGGAAGATTAGCGCGGCTCGTCGCCTGTTTGTCTTATATGTCCACGCGGCGGCTTACTTATCTGGTAACAAGGCATCGTCGTTGTTGCACTGGAATCTTACATGAGGCGCAGAAAGGAAAATCTACAAGTTTCGAGAATTCTAAGAAAAAAACAAGGAATAAGAAGTTTGGAGAATTCCAAGCGACGTTATTGCTCGAAAACCATATAAAAACATTCCGGACAAATCGATGCCAAAACATAACAAGTATAGGAAAATTCTCGTCCAAAGTGTTTACAGGAATCTGAGATCTAAAAAGGCCGGCGATGTCGACAATCGACGGCCTTGGAAATTGCTTTAACGCCGAAAAGTGGGTAAATAATATATGAAATTTTTATCATAATATTTACCTCAACGTCCAATAGACAGAATACTATTATGCTATATATGCATATATGTGCGCATGTGTGTATAAAGTTTCAGGATTACCAATTAGTACGGTATTAAATTATTTATCTATGACAACTAATTTTACGCTACTAAGTCTATATAATTTACAATACGATGAAATCTGATTTGATAGCCGATAAGATTATCTTAAAGAAAATTAGCTTTTACGTGCACATCACGATTGCGTAATTCTCGAATTACATTAAAATGAATACAATTTAATTTTTCTAGCGAACCAAGTATTATTTTTTACTGGAAAACTAAATTGTTTGTTTTTAGCAATAATTTGAAGTATTTCTTTATGATATATAAAACTTGTTTTAAAATGATATAATATTTAACCTATTTAATTATTTGTAAAGTATTGAAAATCGTGTAGAAAAAAATGTTAGTATAAGGATATTATATTTTTATTATAAACACATGTGGATAGGAAAAAATAGTGTTTTTATTAAGAGCTATTGAATAAACAATTGCTTGCATGAATGTTATTAGCAACAAATTTTGAAGCTCAGCGAAAAGTTCTCACTCGTTCTAATTGTTATATTATATTTTTTCATCTACTTTAATTATTTTACGATTTTTGAAAAAAAAAAAAAAAAAATTATGTGTAACTTATGATTATTGTTTATACGTGGTTCTTTTATTATTTATATTATAAGTATATAAATTAAATAAATATTTTTACACGAGGTGTCGATGAGTTTTGGCGGACTTTCGGATTAGTTGATTTAAATTGAATTTTGCTTTAAAAAATTATTTAATAATTTGTACTCGAACGAAGTATTTTCGAATTAAAATGGAGGAAAAAAATCATAGAATGTTTATTTCATTTGAATAATCATGGATGTCATTAAATGGAATTTTTATCGTTGTTTTTATCGTTGAAAACCATATAAATTAAGAATTATTGAATTTCGTAAACTTAAAAACTATAATTATAATGTTGAAATCGATCAAACTTATAATTTTATGATAGTACATAATCCTAATTTTCTATAAATTTTCATCACATTTTGAAACTTAACGAATAATTAAATTATCTAGTTAACATCTATTCATATTTTACGTTTAATAGCAAGTTTTTATCGATTGATTTATTATTTTATTTATTCTTTTATTGGCTCAATGCTTACACGCTCACTTTTATCGAGGATAATAAATGCTTAAATTGTAAATATACTTGAAATAATTTTATTTCAAGGTCCAACAAAAGTATTCTCGGTTGAAAAATTTTGATTAGATATTTAGATTATAAATCGTATAAAAGCCATTTACGTTGTCTATTACCTTTATTTTATTTACTTTGTCGTTGTTGTAATCTTTTTAATATGCTTTCGCAGAGCCAACACATCTGACTTCTTGCAAGCCAATAATTATACGTCCCTAGCAAAATCGATCTACGAACTATTTAATTTCTTACCCTCATTATGCATTCGGTTAACATTCGAATAAGTAATTTTTGTCTTGGTTGCATTTCCAAAAAAAAGATAAGAGTCTAGGGGAACCGGGTCGAGATAAAACTATCCCAAAGACTATCGGAGCCTCTTCCGCTCGAAGGAATCTCGAAAGCTCGAAGAGCTTCAACGAGCAGAATTGCAGGAGGATTTACTCTAGAAGTGATAGGATCGAGAATAGCGTATAGGAAGAAGGGGGTGTGGAATCGATCCAACAAAGTCGCTGCCTTGTCCAGCAACTTGAGAGGAGCACCAACACTCATGCAATCGCTCCGATTGCAATTATCCAAGGGTTTCGTCTATTATCGCCCAGGTCTTTTTGTTGCCAATATTGAATTTTATTTCTCCTCTAATGGCCGTTATAGATGCTGCTCTAAGGATTGAAAATTCCCGTTGAAAATCCCAATGGCGTCTCTAGGCTGTGCACATTTGAGCAAGCAACGGAACAATAGGAAATAAGACTAATTAAATGTTAATTCATGCTGATAGACGTGGGATCGCCGAATAATGATACCGACCAATATTTTGTCTTGTTTGGTTCTGTCAGTTGCAATCTTATCAGTGTCAAAACATCGGTATCTCATTGTAATGTCGGCAAATGTATTATCGCTCGTTGTATCATTGGCAAATTGAATTATTAGAAATTTGTATTTGTAGGAAGTACTTACGGCGCTCGAGGACAATTTTTTTTTTTTACAAAATTACATCGCTCGATCGAAGTAACAATACTATCGAGGTGTTAATTACAAATATTTGTTAATGTTGTATCTTATGCGACTAATATATAATCCATACGATTAATATCCCATGTTTATTATGACATGTAAGTTCAAAGTATTGGAGAAGCGTGTAATACAACGAATCTTAATCGCACACTTTTAATTCGTAACATCAATTTTGAATCTTAGCCTAAATATTTTCAATACTGCCAACGCCACCCCTCGCCCACCCCGCCCGGCCCTCGCCAAAATAAAGCTCCACCCAACCCATTGCAATTATAATGGCAAATTATTGAATTTTGCTAGTGCCTGGGCGTTTACGTTAGTGCGCGTAGACAAACGATGCTAGTCGAGCGTACACTTGACAATTAATTTTATCGTTCGAGGCGCTGACCTCAAGATTTCCAAAGGCTGAAAAAGCCAGTGCGAGGACTGGCCGATCGCCAGCAGCCAGGATCAACGGCAAGGACGAGTGGGGCTAAGCTTGACTCTGCGGAAGTCCGCGGCGAACAGGGCACGAGGAGGTGGAGGAGATGGAGGAGGTCGTTTCCAGCCACCACGGGCGCTGCTCCTCCTACGTTATTGGGGGTGGGGGGTGGGGGGAGGGTACGCGTGGCTGGCAAAGAGTCGCAATGACGGCGACGAGGGGCGGGGGCGGGCGCGAGGTGGCGCTGAGCGGCGCCGCGGCGGAACAGTGCGGCACGGGCCGCTCGGCAGGACGTTGCTGTAGACGCGTAGATGCGCGCCAGGTCGCGCAGGTGCGTCGTTCTCGCGCTATGCGCCTGCTGCTTGCCCGTCGCGTTGCGGCTACTGCTCCTCGGCAGGAGCTACCCTGAGGGGTCCCTCCTCCTCGAGTTCGAGGGCACGGCGTCTCCTTCGGATGGGGACGAGGACGAGGAGGAGGAGGATGGCGAGGAGGAGGAGGAAGAGGAGCGGTTTATCGGGAGTAAGCCGTACGGGTTCGCCGGGGCATATATGGCCGGCGGCGAGCCACGTAATGCGTCCTATTGCAGGTGAGTAGAAAATCATCGTCCCCGGTGCTTGGGCGTATCCGCGTGGTCCTGCTACTTGAGTTTGCTGCTGCGGTGGATAATTTGAATGGAGCGATGCTGCTCGGTTGGGTTGTTCGCCAGATTTACGAGGACACTTTTGTGTAGGCATTTTGTACTCGTGCGGTTACGTTTGGAATAATGACCGAATCTATATCTATAGATACATACTGCCTATTGCATGTCGGCCAAATTAAAATTGCTACTTCAATAATTATAAATAACATATATTATTAACAATAATATATATATATATATATATATATATATATATATATGAAGAATACAATTTTTGTTCTGTTTTTCTGTTATTATTTTTTTTTTTAATTTCCATCAATTTCTACGATTTAGTTTAATTTCCTTTCCCACTTTTTCTCCTTGTCTCGTTCGTTCGCGCCGTCGCATCTCTCCCCCTTCGTTGTCGTTCTCCCACTCCATTCAGCTGTACTTACATTCGTGTCTTGTCATTGTCGTTCATCCACCTCCTTACACCCTCCCTAGTCAAGGAATATATCAAACAAGAAGCAGAATAATCGGAAATCGTCCAAGAGAAAAGATGAATGTAAATGAAAGGTAAAATAATAATAATAATAATAATAATAATAATAATAATAATAATAATAATAATAATAATAATAATAATAATAATAATAATAATGATAATGTTAATGATAATGATAATGATAATAATAATAGTAATAATGATAATGATAATGATAAGGATAATGGTAGTAATAATAGGATTGGCAGGGTTGATTGATGTTTCAGGAAATTGAATATGGTGCTTCGATTAAAGCATAGATTGATTCTCGCAAATAATTAAATTGATTATTTTGAGAATAGTTAAATTAATATCTCTCCATTACGAAAATATCACGAAATTATCGACAATGCGATAGCAATTATTACAAATTGCTGTCTTAGAGTTATATTAACAACTACATACAGCGTCTAAACAATCGAATTATTACTTAAAATGTTTACGCCTTCATAATACAAGCGATTACAAAAGCAATAAAGTCAAATATGGTAATAACTTCGGTTATATTTCGTAATTTTTAAACGCTAATTCTTTTATCTCGAAACATTAATTAAATCAATGTATAACGTTACTTCATACCCGTTAATGCGCGAATAAAAAAAACCTAATTCATACTTTAGTTACGATGGCCGTAATTTGGCGTCGAAAAGTGCGAGGAAAGAACTGATTTCATCACATTCATAGTTTTTTTCGCGTCAAGAAAGTCATTGTTACTTACTATAAAGTCAAATATTATTCCAACGATGGCAGTCTTGGAAATTTAATGCTTCAACTCATATAAACCATTTACCTTTTCTTCAATAACGTCCCACGAGTTATCTGGCATTCAAAGAACGTAGTGTAAAGTACTCCAATCTAATTCATTGTCCGCATATTATTATCTTTTAATCAAGAATTTCAAATAATTTCACGCGATGAATTTCAATAAAATTCATTTATCCAACTTGAAAGTAAGGATACTTTAATTGCTACATTTATTCGAGTCTAACTCGGGCAGAAACTTCATTAGCCCCGTCAAGTTCTCACCTTCCGACATTCGCGAACTATAACATTAAACCATCCGCTAAGGCTTACTTCCAATTTATCAAAAACGAGTTGAATTGAACGCTAAAACTCTCGCCAGCTAATTGCGCCTTAAAAATAGCATCACCCGACGCAACATTACCCGTCAAACGCAACCCGCTTGACTCATCCTCGGCACTTTTGTGCACACTAGGTGGCAATACGGCCTACCCGAGGCTCTGACCTACGTCGACGAGCAGCTGTTTGGCAGTCCGGAGTCGCCGTCGGGCCAACATCGGGTCCTGGTATTCGCCATCCGCGGTGAGAGCGAGTCGGTGCCCCAGGTGACGCTCTGCAGTCACGCCTCGGCCGAGCAGGTTTACGGGATCGTGGAGTTGGCGCGCCGCTGGGAGGGACCACTGAGTTTCGCCGTCTACGCACCGGGTCAGGACGCCGGTCTCGCTGTCCGACTCCTCGACCGGGCTTGTCGATGCGAGCCTGCTATGGCCAGGGTACGTATTCCCTTTTCGCCACAGATGCTGCGCTTTTCCTCTCGTTGCTTTGCCTCCTATTCCCTCGGCAAATGCGCATTATTTATGATTTTTTGAGCTGTGCTGCAGCCACAATGGCTGCGCATTAATAGTAGCGAGATAAGTAGCACATTGGTAGTTCAATTTCCAAACGGTCGATCAACATTCGATGTCGTTTCCTCATAGTCCCCGTGAATCAGTGTCCCATCTCCCAATATATATATATATATAAGCAGTGGGAAATAGTTGTATTGGGCGCGGTTATTGAGTGAGGCCGACGTAAATTTTTTCATTAATCGCATCAGACACACGGAGCTCGAAATCTTTAAATAATGCGTAAATTGGAGTATTCAAACATTATTGCAGGCAATAATGGTTTTTAAATTGTTTTGCCGGTAGATTTCGAGCGCACGCACGCGATGCCTTGAGATACTTGAATTAAAAAGGGAGAAAAATCATTGTTTACGTGGCGATAAAAAGCCGTAAATATTTCATTTGAACTCGTGCACGATTATGCGAAAAGTCTTCGCCACTCGTTGGCGTTCTTACTCTTTTAAAGCGTAACTTTACGTAATAGGCGTAAGCCAGCGGAGGCAGATTAGACAAGCCGCGACACATGGGAACGTTTGCCGAGAAACATTAAATATAATCATAATTAGGACTTAGCTTGCGAGCGTTTCATGCTCGCGTGCTTCAATTTCCGCTCGCGGCTTCTTCGTCCAGGTCTCCGTCCACCTGGTCTTTCCTCGTGACAAGCCAGCACGATGTCTCCTTCCTGGCCGGGAGATCGGCGACTGCGCGGCTCCGGACCTTCAGGCTTTGGTAGCGAAGGGCACGGAGCGCCAGGGCCCCGGGATCGCCTATCCCATCAACGTGGTGCGTAATGTCGCGCGCTCCCTCGCCCCGACGCAGTGTGTCCTCGTCTCGGATGTGGAGCTGCTGCCGAGCGAGGCTCTGGCCTCCCGGTTCGTCGCCATGCTTCGGGGCCGACCACCTAGGCGGACCCTCGCCTTCGTTCTGCCGGTATTCGAGGTCGAAGCCTCCGAGCAGCCGCCCGGTAACAAGGCCCAATTGCAGGCCGCACTAAGAGCTGGGAGCGCCGTCTATTTCCACAGGTGCCCGAGCGAGAGAGTTTGCGTCGCACTCGAGTCCCGCTTTTCCTTGTATGGTAGTGAGCGCGTGGCACGTGGAAAAGTCCCGTTGGGCCTTTTCTTGGTTTGTCAAGCGGGACTCCGATTGCCGGCGACATCCCCTCGATAGCGCTCCTCATTTATCTTCAACTCTGCTCATTTTTGCTTGATAAATTAACGCGGTGACGAGGTACTTTTAACGCTAAGTTCGGGATGTGAGCGTAGATGAATCGTAAGAGTAGATTAATTGAACGGCAAGGATGCGATAATATATCGCGAGAAAATTCGTTCGGGCTTTAGCTAACTAACTCGACGCGTTATAATAGTAACGGACAATTGGAATGGAAAACTGTATTCGAGATACTATGTGGATTTAAAAAAAAAAAAAAATTTTTTTTGTCTCGTACAAATGTCTCGTGTTCGCGCGAGTGCAATGTTCATTTATTTACTTTAATACGTAGTGCATAATTGTAAAGACAAAGCATCATAAATCTTGGTTTAACCGACATTGTTTGCTCTCTAATAATACAATATTATAATATATGTAAATAATCATTGATTAATAATAATAATAATTCTCAATAGTATAGCTTATCTGAATATTATAGTGGTGCGAAGTATGTACGATGATACTATAATTTATTTTGCAGGTTCTTATGTCCACATTGCCAAAGATTTCCGGGCCTGACCCGGTGGATCTTAAGACCCGATCCGGGAAGAGTAAGACCGTTGATCATTACTAAAAGAGAGTATCCTCACCACAGGTGGGAGCCTATTTTTATTGGAACAAAATATGATCCATTATATACTGAAGAAATGTCTTGGGAGGGTCGCCAGGATAAAATGACCCAGGTACGAGTATTAAACTCATGTTCATCGTCTTATTTTTAAAATTTTATTCAACTATAAGAATTAGGCACAAATATTTTCATTAATTATCCGCTTTCATTAATAATAATTCCCTTTGTCCAATAGTAATTGTGAATCTTACAGTGGAACGTATTAAGCATTATAATTTTTAGTAACGAATGCGTTGAAATTTTTAAAATCTTTTAAATGAAAGAAACAACAATTGTAATGGAGAATTAATCTTAAATATTTCGAAACAAAATTATCGTTCATTGTAAATATCAAGATTATCTTCAAATACAAAAATATTTCCGATATTTCCGAAAACAGTGTATGTATATGTTAAATAGACTTGACTTGATATCCATGACGGCATGATTCAAACATTTTTTTCTTCTTTCTCTTATTCTTTTTCTATTCCATTTTTTTTTTATTTTTTTTTTTTATTTCCATTTTTTTTTTTTTTTTTTTTTTTATTTTTTTTTTTATTTTTTTTTTTTTTTTTTGTTCATTTTGTAACAAAGAAACTACATCTTTTCGAGTCTGTATTATGAATTTAATGTTTACCAATAACAAATGTAATTGCTTACTACAGTTGGAGAATTAAAGTCAAATTGTTTATGCAGATGTTCGAGATGTGCCTAATGAATTATCGTTTAATAATCCTGGATGGTGCATTTTTAGTTCATACGCCGGGCATAAAGCGCAAACCTACAGACGACCAACAATCCATATCAGAGCTTCAGTTGGCCCATGAGCGACAAAATGCGCGAATCTATCAGCGGGTGACGCGGCGTTTACTTAAAAAATATCCCTCCAATCGGCGCTGTAGATCTTGAAATTGCTACAGAGCACTTTCGGGAATAATATTTCATAAGTGATAAGCAATAATTACATTGTAGCTTATGAGCGAGCATAAGGTTAAATGTAGCGTTGGCCACAAAGGTCGAAACACTTTTTAGAAACAGCAGAAATTAATTATAATTTAATTAAAAGAATTAATTATATTTACTCGTTTGCATGCAGACATGACATGTACTCAATTTTAATAAAGTGGCTTTTTTATCTTTTGAGCAAACAACGAATCAAATGAATTAAGATATTTATGCATGTAATGCAAGACCAAAAAACGTTACACTTTAAGAAACTTAGGACATTTTAATTGAAATTTTAAACACGGTGTGCGCTAACTTTTAATTGACATTTATAGACTGAATACGTATAATTTGCGATAGGTATCATCGATAAAATATGATTTTGTGATAATTAATTAAATTTTTTCATCCATCAAAATTAATAGTCAATTTTAGTTTATTTACATGACTTCAAAGTAGTCAATTTTTCTCTGATTATTAATTTTCAAACGCACATTATGTCTATATCTTAATAAGGATATGCACATTAACATTAATGTCGCTATTGAGATCGATCCATTTGAGTTTGGAGTAATCAATTTTCAACGCTCAATTTACATTACGAAATTGCATGATACTTTATGGTTCAAGTAAACACTTCGATCTGTACTAAAAATATAATATATGTCGGTAAAGGTGATATATTAAATATTAAAATAGCTGAGTTCTTTCATAATTCGGATAATATTGTAAGTATAAGTCGGTCAAACAACCGCTTTTACTGTTCTGTTACTTAAAATCATGGAAAACTCATATTTAACTCAGTTATTTATGATTATGTCAACGCTATATTTAATTCCGTTTTTCTTTTGTCAGTTTTGTATTTCATAATATGAATAATAACTATTATACAAGTATTTTTATAGATTTTATATTGTGTTGACTATTTTGAAACATTTATAAAATAGAGGTATAGAGAGGTAAATGGAAATATAAATCATTTAATTTTATATGTAGTTTATAATAATGCTTTAAATAATCTAATCATCAGCATTGAAATATAAATAATTAGTTTAATATTGCTTTATATTGAATTATTTAGTATCAGTAGAAGTTATGAAATAAGGATGAAATAATGAAGTTTATAATTTATTCATATATAAAGCTTAATGTGCATAAACATTTTATTAAATATCTTAACATATGAGTAGAGCAAAGCTTATATAGGCATTGATTTCGATGTAACGACAGTTTTTATTGAAACAATGTATTATGCTGATAAAATACTTTCAATATATATATATATATATATATAAACTTTAGATATTTTTATAATTATAGTCGAAACGAATTATTGTCGTTGTATTATTAAACTGAGCTAGACATAAATTGTTAATTAAAACAGTTTTAACAGCTAATGAGAGATTAAAATAATTAGTTTTTAAAAGGAATTTTATCATAGAAGAATCATATAACTACTATTATATATTACAACGCTTAAATAAAATATATTGATAATAGTTAATTGATAAACAATTCGTTGAAGAAATGAATTCGCATAGACTGAAGCACTAATTACTCATATCAACACATATAATTAATAATGTACAAAATTTGCTAATATAGATTTTTAGAAACATTTAAATATAATATAGTAATATTATACAAATTAATAATTTTTTTAAGCAAATTGTATTATTTATAAGAATAGAGAGAATACAATGAAAAATAAAATATGCATCGATATAATAATGGAATTTCGTATTTATATTACACTACCGATTATATTTTTATTTTCACTGTTGAATGTAATGAATTTTAAAGTAATTAAACTATCAATAGTAATTACAAATATTTATCACGAATTCATATTATGTTTTTATTCACTTGATGTAGATACAATGTAGTTTATAACTATATTTTTTTATCGAATAATATGGAATATTTTTTCTTTTTCAATGATTAATTTTATTTCACGACCTTCGTATAAGATTTCTACTCATTAATACAGCCAAATACAATAAGAAAATCAAAGTTATAAGAAATATATCAGCATACAGATAAATAATGCTCAGTTTTTGTTCTATTGAATTATATTTTAAATTTTGATAAGGAGTAAGAAAATGTTTGTGTAATAAAGTGTTTTTTTTAACACATCGATAATTTTAAATAAATTAACTAAATTATTATTAACGCATAATACAATTACTGTATTATCAATACAAAAATGTTAATTTAAATTATTAACATATTATATTAAATTATCTATCACATAAAAATTAAATATATTTCTGTGTAATTTGAAGGTATTTATAATAAACATAATATAATCAATACTCACACATTGATTAAATGCTTTTTTTCTTTATCCGTTTAATGCGAGTTTAATGCAGAATTTTTAAAAATTTTGAGATTATGTCAAACAGCTTTAATGGTAAAAAAAGAAAAAAAAGAAAAAAAGAACGGAGTTTAAGAGAGAAAGCATCGTAATTTTGTCGAGGTATATCACTCTCAATGATTTCTACATTTTATTTTTTTCATTTTTATTTTTCTTGTACCAGGGAAATGACGAGTTTTCCGAAGGTCTTCTTCGTGTTTCGAAAGGTGTTCTTCGTGAGCCTTTATCATTTTAGTTACGATGCAGAGAGTTCTGCAGTAGTTTACACAATGAGTCCAGAAGCCCTTTGTTGCCCTTCTCCTTCAATTTCAGACCGCTGAGATTTGATTTATCAAAATTTTTCTTAGAAATCAGAAAACTTTTCAATATATAAGTTATTTGTAAAATAGTTGCACTTTCTAGTCGTCGAATATGACATAATTAATCTAGTCAATTTGTATGTAACGTAATTCACATATTTATTCATTTGTATCTTTTAAAACCGCAATTTATAATAAATTTATTAAACCTTTACCTGTTAAAGATCTATAATATTAAGATTTGTATATTATTTTCTCTAATTTCTTACTTTTATTATATACTCTACTTTTTAATTTCATTATTATAAAATTTCATATTATTAAATTTTGAAATTCATAGAATATTATATGTAAGTAGTTTTTTTTTTAATAAATTCATTGATTGAATACGAAACCAGAAAGAAAAAAAAAATCAAAAATTTGTCAATATAATAATTTTATATTTTATTTCTTATAATAAATTTCAAAATAAATTCCTAACTATTTATCATTATTGAGAAATATTATAAATATATTTAAATTTTATTTCGAATTGTTTAGTAAAATTTAGCTAGTTACTTACCGCTAAATTATTAAATACATATATTTATCAAAATCATATTATTTAATTAATTATTATATGCATAGCTATTTAATATTTATATTATTGTAAAATGCATTATTATTAATGTTTATTTTAATGAAAAATTAATTTTTGTACATTATTAAAGATTAAAAATGTATTGCATCATACGTTGTTAACGAATGTTATGATATTTGTTAATATTCATAATTACAACATTATTTGAATTTCTTAAGTTTTATGATAATCATTGATTGAATTAAATTTACAAAATTTAAATTTAATAGCATCTTAAATAGAGATAATGCATTCTCATTAGTCTAAAATATATAACACACTTTAATTGCTTAGGTTATAAAACCTTGTATTATTCACATAGTTAAAGAAAATAATTTAATATAAATTTATAATTATTTTTAAATCTGAATAAAATCATTATGTACATTGAAAATAATATATCACATTTCATAGATAAAACTTCATAGATAAAAAGATTAAAATTTTTTAAGTATGTCGCAAAATAGACAAACATACTTTATTTAAAAATGTGAAAGATTATATCTTGAATACCGTAGGATTTCTTCAAATATCATTGCTAAGTTAAAAATTGCACATTCATTGAAAATCTAAATCGGTGAAATATTTATTCTTTTACAGGCATTGGTATTTGTCCTCTCCAACATATGTTAATAAGATTAAAATTTCTTTATTCGTCAATACAAAAATAACGGAGTAGTTTCGTTCTTGTCGATTGAAAAAATAAAAGGCAGCATAGAAATTTAATTACCATATATTCTACAATTTTTATTGGCACTAAAAATAAAATATCAAAGTCTATGTGTAAGCACATTATCGATCATTAAAATTTGTACTTTTAGACTTGTACAATTTTAAGTATTAATAAAACATTATATTAATAAGTATTAAAATTAATATTAATAAAATATTAATAAGTCTTTTAATATGTAGAAATTTTTATATAAATAGCTTTTCAATCAAATTAGCGATCAAATTTACATAAAAATTATTTTTATAAAACTTTAGGTTGTAGGATAACGTAATTGTCATTTATTTACATATTCTTTCAAAGGAATCAGTTCTATATTTGTACTTCATACTTTGATAGAGCAGAGAGAGGTAAGAAAGAGAGAGAGAGAGAGAGAGAGAGAGAGAGAGGAGATAGAAGTGAAGATTGAGCGATGAGTGGATAAGTTTATTTATGTGCAGGCACGCATTCTAAAAAATTCAGAGTAAATTGTATGAAAAGATAATGTATTGATACTGAAGATTAGAAAAGCCTTGAAATCGAGAAAACATGGATTGTAATTTATACACACACGATGTTACAATTTAGACAAATGTTGATTTAAGGAGAACTGACAAATACAAATTGAATATATTGATTAAGCAAAAGTAGACATTTTCAAGTCAGTGCATGGAGCTCTGATTGTATTGTTTAGACGGTAAAATAAAATATTTTCAGATACCAAATAAATATGATAAGAATAGGAAAAAAATTATTTTCAATCCAATTCTACATAGAGATTTTAATTAATTCCATTGGTTTATAAATAATATTGGCTTATATTTAATAATGTAATTTTTATGTAAATTATAGTGCTAATATATATATATATATATATATATATATATATAGATTGTAAAATATCAAATTTTCATGCTAGTTTTTAGTTTATAAAATCTTAATTTATAAAACAAAAAAATACAATAAAATTATGTAATTTTTTTGTTATACTTTCTGTCTAAATAAACGATAAAATATTGAATTTTATCACATTACTACTTTATAGTGATGTGATATTTAGAAAAATATCTCATAATTCTAGTTGAATAAAAGAAACAGAAAATATTTGGCTAATCATTTTTTTTTTACTCGATACTATCGACTA